ACACACACACACCTACACACCTACCTCTCTTTGCAACACTAGAAGTAATGACAAAATGTATTAAATCCATAAATTGGTGCTGTATTAATATCCAAGCAATAAGCGGTTTGCTATTGCAAAATGAAAGAACCGCTCAGCACTTAAGTTTTCCCCAGGGTCATATTTCACTAACACACACACACACACACACACCCTTGCAAAGACACAGAAAAGGAACAAAGAGAGAAAGACAGAAGTGACTTTGAAGGGAAAATGACGTATAAATTAAGTGTCACTAGTAGAGGGATGGGCAGAATAAAATAAGCTCCGTGAGAAGACAACATTGACACTGTGCTCTTTCACTCTTCAGTCAGGGGTTGCTCATAGTGGCTCATAGTGGCAACCTATGAAGTGTGACAAAGGAGACCAAGTCAGCCTGGTAGGGTATACAGTTACACTCAGTGGAGAGGAAAGATAATGGGGAAGAAAATCCAAATGATGGAGGCCTAATGAAGCGATGGTGTGATCAAGTAAAGGCCACATCTGTCAGATTATTTCCATTTCAATAAGTATTTGTTGAACAGTGTTGATGATTGTGATGGAATAGTTTGAACACGCTGCAGACGTATCGCCATCTGCGAGGTTATCCGCAGAGTTTTATAGTGGAAGAGGTGCCTTTTTTTATGAAGTCACATTTTTATGAAATATTAGACTTATAAAGCTTCAAGGAGCAGTGGCGTTACATCACAGAGCAAATGCCATATATTGAATGACTGAGGTGAATGTCGTCTAGTAAAGACATTTATGTGATGAGACGGTCGGGGATCTAACAGTTGGGAAACGTAGAGACAAACAACCTCATACGTCACAATCAGGTGATGATGTGTGAGAAAAGAAACTCATCACCGCACTAAAACTCAGACAACAGGCTGAAGGTAGTTATATAATCTCCTAGTAGGCCTTTTTCACAAGCACATTATGACAGAAGGAAAAACACAAGGGTAACTGATAACATTAAAAAAGGACTGCATTCCATTTAGATGAGACAGTAGGATCTTATTGTAGTTGGATAGTATTGTGTGGCTCACTGTCATGAGTTACTGAGACACTGAACAGAGCCATCGTTGATGGTTTTGGTAACACTGGTGCATTTCCTGCTATGATGTGAAAAAGGCCTTTAGAGTCTGCATCGAGTTGTATCCTCAGTGTCTGTGATTAGACTGAATTTCCTGGGGAAACCCTGATCCGTTAAGCCAACAGTTGTCCATGGATTCATTTGGCTGAATGCACCTTTATGACTTCCACACCTTTCATATCTTTAACAACCTTGGGAGTGGCCGCACAATATGTTGTGGAGTTGTTTATTAGGCTTCACACAACAGCACAAATCACATGGAATCTGATCTTTCATATGTGGTCCAAATCAAATACAGGTCAGATTTTTGTGTTTTATTCATGTCAGAACCTAATATAGACCACATTTAGAAAATACAGAGCCAAACAAAAAAATCTGGCCTGAGCAGTAAATCAGAATTGAGCACTAAGGCTTGCAGTGTAAATGTAGTTACAGTCTCATTCACACCAAGTCCTGACCTCAAGCTAAAAACAAACCAAACAAACACTTATAAAAAGGGATTATAATTACCAGAATAAGGACAGGTTGGATGAAAAATAAATTCACAACCTTTTCCCAACAAATGTGTTAAAATTCCAGACAGCAGGTAACATGCTAAAAATAAAACCTCTTTTACCAGGGGGAACTGTGCAAATTAAAAGAAGCCAACCAGAGGATAGTTCTTCCTCTGAGTAAAAGTAGGACTTACAGTGATGTGGTTTTAGTTCCTTCAACTCCTGTTAAATGACTCATCTGTTACATATGCCATTATCCCATTAGCCCTGTCTGGCTCAGACAAGCTCTCTCTCCGACTACTAGCTCAGACCCCACACAGCCATGCGTGTCTGCATACTGTTTAACATGTATTCTCAAAATGGAGTGAAAAATACCACCGTCTACAAAACCAGCACAGAGTACTATCACTGTCTACACCCAAACCACACAAAGACTTCTAAAAAGGTAACTGGAGACGAGCTCTGAGTGTTTTCTTAGCAGAACTGATACCACCTTGGTTTCTGCTCTGTGTGTTAAATATACTCCTGGTACTCAGAGCGAAAGCCTTAAGAGCCCTGAAAGCATTTCTTCTGGTACCTGAGCTCCTGTGAGATGGTAGAAGGCCTGACAGTGTATCTGCATCCATGGAGGATTTTGGGGGCCTCAAAAAAAAAAAAAAACATCAATATTGGACCAAAAACAAACTTTCAGTATTGCAGGAAGCAATTTAAAAATGAGCCCCCGTAAAACATACTTGAAACTGTAATTTATTTATTGATTATCCGTTGCTGTGAATGTGTTTGGTGTGGATGGTGTAAGGTCAAACAAGGGTGAGCAGCTGAGGAAAAGCATGTAACGGTGTTTAACAGCTGAGTGGTGTGCAGAATCAGTTCGAGACCAGACTGTCTGCGTGCGTTTAATTTATAATTTATAATAAGAGAACTGCACAATTGTGTCCGCCTGACGCAACACATGAACTGTACTGTAATGTGCCCTTCTGTTCATGGCTGTCTGTGCTTAAATATTGGTTAAATGCAAGTCACATATTCTTGCATGGTGTGAAAACTTCATCAAAACATTCAAAAATATGACAAAGGAGGAGGCAAACAGAAATGCGGCAGTTTGACCAACTCAGCTGGGCTCCCTGGCATTAGCGTTAATGTTTTTGTGGAGGAAGACAAGCCAAATGGACAAGAGATTTACAGCAATCTGTTCACTTTGTGACTAAAGCTTTTGGTGCATATGCTGCATCAACACAGTCAGATGGCAGATATGTGCTCTGCTCTAGTATCATGTAACCGCTTTGTACAGTACAGCTGTACAACCCTTCTTCCATGGCTGACATTCAGATAACCTTGCTTTCCATTTAACGTCATAATCATAAGCAGCCTCGTGAGCCAAAATGTATCGGCTCAATTTTTCCTTACTCTTGAAAATCGTGGTGAATTGAGTTATTCTGGGAAGGTTCCTGGGTGCGAGTGTGTTGAACTATGTTAAGACAGAGCATGTCATAATGTTATCTGCATCTACAAAATCGCATTAGACTAGATAAGATGGAAGCTTTTGCAGCTTTAAGAGACAAACCTTTGCAACTATCCCAGCTCAGTACACACTCAGTACACACTAAATCTGAATCAGAAATGGAACATAATATTCAGAAGTACGTTTTCAGTTGTGTATGATCACCTAAAAATAAGAATTGTTGTGTTACCTTACAATGAGCTGTTTTTATCTACAGAGGGTCCTCTTCCACAGAGTCTGCCGTGTTTCTACAGTAGCCCAGAAAGGACAAACCAAACACTGGCTGTAGATAGGGGCCTTTTGTGGTTTTCACAGGAACCATTTTCAGTTTGTTGTATTCTGCAACTTCACTCTAAGATGCCACTTAATGAGACACACTGGTCCTTAAATGATTGGGATGGGAATTTATTTTTGTTTAATTGGCAGCTGCTTTTCAGAGCTGCAGTTGGACCGACATCCATTGGTGCACGTCATTTCCTGCGAGAATAAAATGGTAAAGCTATCA